ATCTATCTATCTATCTATCTATCTATCTATCTATCTATCTATCTATCTATCTATCTATCTATCACATTTTCTATAAAAAGAAGGTTCTCTGTTTTGACTGCTTTGTATTTTTGGGGGGATATTAGTTTCACCATTTATTTTATCAAAAATAATTCCTCAAAGAACACTTTTATAGTGACCTGATAGGATTTTGTTTTGGTTTTTGGAAATGGGTAAAATCTTATAACTTGGTCTTTCTCCCAAGGCTATATAGGATAGCATATGTTTTGTTTCTTTCTATATTTCCGTGATGAAACCCCAATCCATCAGGCCGAGGCTGAATATCTAATTCACACACTGGGCTGATGCAGGGTTTACTGCATAAATCAAAGTTGGTGGGTATATAAACGAGTGAGGTGGCTCTGTTATTATTAACATCCCTTTGCCCACCATTTCCTTTTCTTAGCTTTGTTTTTTATAGTTTTTAAATAATGTTATTGTTTTAGGTATTTATTAACTGTTTTAGCTTTGTTGTACGCTGCCCAGAGTCACTTGTTTTATGAGATGGGCAGCTATATAAATCTGACAAATAAATAAATAAATAGACAGACCATATGCTTAATCATGAACCACTGTCTACAGATCATTCTGGCTGGGTTCACGCATTGTGCTAAATCACAAAGAATGAACCATATTATATCTTGGGCTTGTGCAAGCGTATTTTTTTTACTGATAAGCCCACACACACACACCGTTTTTTAGCAACGGTGAGAAATTGATTTGCCGTTGCTTCCATATTTCAATATTTATGCTTCTGGAAATATATCTCCAAAAGTATAAATATTGAAATATGGAGGCAATGGCAAAGCAATTTCTTGCCGTTGCTTAACCATTTTTATTCCTGTATCTGTGTCATTATCAGGAGACAAACTTAACTTCCCTTTTCACGCAAAACCCCAAACACAGAAGTGAACCCAGCAGATCAACAATACAGCATAGTGTGTTGTTGTTCAATATGACAGCCATCTAGTCAGCTCCTTTCCTAGGATATTCCATTACATTCTGTTTCCTCCACCCGTACTGCTTTTGAGTTTTTCTCCAATTTAGAGTTTTTTCTACCTAACTTTTGTACCTAAAGTATTTCTGCATTTTCTCCCAAGCTTGTGTGTGTGGTTACTGAGGGAAATATTGTGTGTGTGTGTTTATGTATGTATGCATGTTATATGTGTGTGTGTGTTTCAGACGTTCTTGCTTTTAAAAATGTGTCTGTTAAACAACATTGCCTTCAAGTTTGTATACTAGGAGAAAGAAGTCCACGTTTTCATGTTATTTTAAGACAATCAACCTCAAAGGGTTGTGGAAACCAGCTTAACTAAACATAAGATACAGTAATTGAGAAACTGAATGAATATAAAATTGACAGTTTTCTTCATGGAAGAGCTGACTGTTAAAATGAGTCCTTATCTTGTTCTTTGGAGATAAGAAGGATGCAAGATCTCCAAGAAAAGCTGGACTTCCTCAACTCTGATCTATTTTTAACATCAGAATCCTTGTCTCTACTTCAGTATTTCTTACTTTAGGAAAGGACCTACACAACTGAATATCAGGGATTGTAATCTCTGTAGCAATAAATTACTTGCCCATCTAACCTCCTTAAAAAAATAAATAAATTGTAGAATGAAGCAATGCAGCAATTCATTTTAATACAACAACTTGCTCAATAGTCTGACCAAGCTGGTAGAGATTTTAAATTAAAAACCCAATGACTCTGGGGATCTCATACTTAATCTGCAACAATCACTTTTAGAAGCTGCTGTTAGCATCGTGGCTGATATTCTTATCCCGAGAGGAATATAGGCAGAGAACATAGCTCTTATTTTTTACACCTTTGCTTATATAGATCAGATACAGCTTTGACGACTTTACACTGCTTCTTCTTAACGAGCCAAGCTTATTAGACAGGCATTTTGCTTTTGGAATATACATAGTCTTTGAAATTCCAATTAGGAATTGCCATCCAGTTGAACACACTTTTTAAAAAAGCATCTGAGAGATTCTCCATGCTGGATTTCAATTATGTTGACAATGAATGGTCATTTTTTACATTGCTCCAAAGTGTGTTAATACA